GAGAGAGAGAGAGAGAGAGAGAGAGAGAGAGAGAGAGAGAGAGAGAGAGAGAGAGAGAGAGAGAGAGGCAAGTGCTATGCCTCCTTGTCCTGCTGCCATTCCCCTTTTGCCGCGAGGTCGCTCCTCACTGTGGGTTGCTGCGTGGTGCTCCCCAACACGACGTCACCACCCTTCTTCCTCCTCCCTGCCGTATGGCAGCTGCACCTTGCGCCATCCTTTTTTGACGGCACGAAAAAACAAGCGCAGGTGATGGGGCGAAACTTTTTTTTTTTTTAAGTCCCCAGATTCAAGTCCCGCAGTGAACCTTGCAGCTTCATGTGGGTAGGTTCGCTCCACGTTCATTTTAATAGCGTGAACCAGGCTCAACTGGCGAACCAGGCTCAAATGACGGTGCAAAAAAAAAAAAAGGCAAAGTCAAATTGAGAAGCGAACCTTGCCGATTCATGTGGGCAGTTTGCCTCCACGTTGGTTTAACAGAGGCAGGTCCCAGTATGCCACTGGGACGCAATGCTTTTTTTTCCTTTGAGGGCCGGGGCATTTTTGTTTGGTATTTCTTGTCCCTACAGTAGACTCACAGGTTTTGTTGTTTGGGGGGCAGGAGGGGATCCTTGCAGGTCATCCTGGGTCAGTGGGTCGGGTGACCCAGGCCAGACATTCACCCACCTGCCATCCCCCCATGCGGGTGACCCAGGCCTAACATTGATCCGCCAGCTAACTGCGACCCACCCTCATCCCACTTAGGCCACCTTATTTACGCCCACACCCATGCGTGTGCCTTGCGGGTGCAGGTGGGTGCGGGTCTGGGTACCCGTTGCACATCTCTGGCGTCAGGCAAAAAAAAAAAACCGCGCCAGCGGCGGCTCGTTGTATGTCGGCACGCAGCAGAAATGTGCAACAAACTTGCCCCCACCCACCTTTCTGTTTTGGCTCCTTTTGCCACCCACACCTGTAAACCATCACTACCTTTCTGGCTGTAATCCGCAGTTGGGAGTATAACCTATATGCCGCATTCTTCGGAGGCCGGGTGCTATCAGACAAAAAAGGCTGGCGGCGCCAGCCAAAACAAAACAAAACAAAAACGCCACGCTGGTGCTTCGGCCTCCGATCGGCGCTCAGTTGTGCTCCGCCTTGGCAAAAAGAGGCTCGGAGGTAGTGGGGGTTTAAGGAGTCTCAATCAGCTGGCTTACATGAGTATTGTTTTGAAAACCACCTTGTCTGTGTGTCTCTTGGGAACGGCGGAAAGAGACCAAAGTCTTTGCACAGATGATGACGAAGACGATGATGATGATGATAGTGAACGATGATGACAGTCAGCGTATTGATTCATGATGATGATGTGCTCATGACTGGCAACAGCAAAAGACCAAAATCTCTGCACAGATGATGATGATGATGATTATGATGATGATGATGATGATGATGATGTGGAGATGATGATATGAAGATGATGATGATGATGACGATGACAGTCAGGGTACCGATTCAGGGTTTAGGGTTTAGGGTTGATGATGACCCGGGCGTTGATGGCGCTCCTGGGAAAAAAAATATAGATGTTAAGGTTGAATTTATGTTGAAATCATAGTACCATACGCATTTTGTTGAAACCATATCTGGTGGTCGCGCTGGTAGCGAGACATTTTTGTTTTTTTCCCTCGCCTTTTGCATCTACTGGGAACAACTGTAGCTCCAGCCTTTTGTGCCTTTTGTGTGGAGGATATGAAAGTAAGTGGAAACAAATGAAAGTCCTGAAAGCTATGATGGTGCTGGCTGATGGACCCTACCGTATGCTGTAATTGTATGAAAGTTTCTTGTTCCTTAAGCAGAGGTGGCATTCATTTATATCTTTTTTGTAGAGTCTGTTCGTAAAGGGGGTAAGGTGGGGTGGACGAGCAGCGGCACATCAATTGACTGTTGTCGATATCGTCTCCGACCAGACATCAACCGCATAGCACCACGTCAGCAAACTCTGCGTGTGCAATCATTCATTGCTGGTGTGGCAACCGCATAGCACCACATCAGCAAACTCTGCGTGCAATCATTCATTGCTGCTGTGGCTTCTATGACGGGAGGGTGGCAGGGCAAGAATGGGTGCAAGGGGGGGGGGGGGGGGGGGGGGGGAGGGAGAGATAGGAGTAGGATGAGGGGAGGAGGACAACCTTGGGCTTTGATTACGGACGATGAATGTGTCAACCAGCTGTACTTCTCGATGCATGGCAGAAAAACCAACTTGATGCTATAATATGGATGTGGATTGTGAGAGATCTGCGAGGAATTCGGGAGGGATGCGGGAAGGGATTCAGGAGGAATTTGGGAACTCGGGAGGGATTTGGGGAGGGGGATTGGGAAGGGAGTCGGGAGGGGTTCACGAAGGATTTGAGAGGGATTTCGGAGCGATTGCGAAGGGATTTGGGAGGCGATTCAGGAGGGGGGGGGTTGATAGCGAGGGACTGGGAAGGAATTTGGGAGCGATGTGGGAGCGACTCGGAAGAGATTCAGGAGAGGTTTGGGAGAGACTCGGGAGGGATTCGGGAGGGCCCGAGGAATTTGGGACGGACTGCGACTCTGCCAAGGGATTTGGGTGGGTTTCCGGAGGGTCTTGGGACGGGTTTGAGCTGAAGAGGATGCAAACTGGGAAAACATCATTTTAGACTTTTTTAGTATGAAATAAAATCTCCACTTGAGGCCGGGTACCTCACAATTTTTTTTATACCTTGCGACGCTTGCGTGTACTGGGGCCATTGCCTAGCTTTGGCTTTAGCTGGGAACTGGGTCCTGTGTCCCACCGGGAATCCCCACTTCAGCCAGCAAGAACCACGAAGATCTGTGTCCAACCTTCATACTCAATAAAACTCAAAGGAACCAGGATGCAAATTGATAATTTCATATAAATTTACTTTTTTTTTCCCTTTTTAAAGTTTTTTTT